GTTGCAGGCATCCTGCTCTAGTACTCCTGTAACTCTAGTAGTTGCGAGAAAAGTTCACGATTGGTTTCGGGTCTTACTTCTCAGGTCCTGCTGATCCTTGTGCACAGCTTGGGCTGCTGTAAGGGTTGTCTCGCTGCAGGCACCTCTTCGTTTCCAGACGCTTGTTTTGGCACATACCTGTTTAGCTCGTGCCAGTCCTGGATCTGTTTCTTACATGTGCTTTGGATTCTTCCTCTGGCTGCCGTAATGCTCATTAACGGCTTCTCGACATCCTTTGCAGAGACCGGTTCTTCTCTCGCATTACTGACTGAGAAATTTTGCTTGCAGGGGAACAGAAAAGGCGCAACCACCACGCGGCCTCGGGATGGAAAAACCACCAACGTTTTGACTAGTTGCGGGGTGATCGATGAACGTCCTTCTTCGCGGATCGTGTATGATGACGACGATGTAAGGGCTGTTGCAAAAGAAAAATGCCACTGGTAAAAGCCGAACGCTGAGCCGACCCTTGATTCGCCTGCATGATGAGGGCGTGGAGCGATGACCGAAAGTTCGGCAGCGGTGCCTGGAACTGCACGCTTTCGAAGGCTACACTCACCACACACCTGTCCACCAGACTTGGCGCCACTTTGCCTGGATAGTCAGAGTCCGGCATGGCATTGGGTCAGTGATGGTGATTGAGCTCGAAACCTGGCATCGGAAATCTGTCAAGCTTCCAACATCTTCCAAGCCCTAGCAACGCTCTGCTTCAAAACGGCCTCCAGACTGCAGTAGTGCTGGAGTTGCATCAGATCAACCTGCACGCACAGGGCGCATTTGACATGAGTTGACATTCTGTCGTCGCAGACCATCAGGGAAAATGAGACATTCGGGAGCAGTCGTGAAGAGAGCTAAAGTGCATGCTGCATGCCCTACCACTGTATCTGGCGTGCCCCGTTCAAACATCAGCTGCTGTCCTCACAACATGCTGCGAGCAAGCCGCCTTCCACATTCTGCTCTCAGGCAAGAGCAGATTCACACAAAGGGTGTCCTGAGGCGGCAGCATGCAAGGCCAGTCGACTACGGCCACAAACACGATGCAGCAGCATGCAATTTTCGCAGACCGCCTCACCACATCGAATCCGGAGTCCTCTGCTGCGTTGCCGTCCTCCTCTCGTCGCGTGGCTAGCGCTCCGATCGCGTCGACCACCTCGGCTTAACCCCCGACACGACATGCACCAAGCCCCAGATATTCCATCGCCCAGGTCCGACTAATAGCCTTCTGGTACAGCGACCACACGGTTGAAGAAATCACTCGGGTGAGAAACGAGCATCTGCAGCGTGCGAGCCCCAGCCGGACATGCGAAAGTTGAACGGACAACTTTGGCTTGGAGACCAAAGATTCTGGATGTTGGCTGTTTCTTTTGCAGCCAGACCCCTAACAATAAGAACCCCAGCCCTTCAAAATCACAAAATTTAAACAATTCAGGGGTTCTCCAAGAAAAAGTTGAGGCTGGATGTCTTAAACTCACGAAATTGAGGGGTTGAATGTCTGTTTCAGAGTACAAAGCAAGAATTACTTGAAGGCAGTCGCTCCTTTCTTCTGAGATTGCATTAATTGGTGATGCGACTGTTTCGGAAAGCCAGGGGGGGCTTCATAATTCCCAATCGACAACTGGTAGTCGACCACCACTGCCTACCTGTTCAGATCCTGAAACTGAGGGTCTAATGCTCCATCTGCCCAAAAAAAGCCCAAAATTTGAATGCAGGCCCGTGGCGGCTTGCGGACGACCCCATATCTCGAAGAGCAGGAAGGGCAGATCGCCTGAGGCTCAGGGTGTCTTAAAACCCAGTGTGGTCTCTTCAAGGCACGTAGCACCACATCTTCGGGTCGCTGGGCTCCATTGCAGTAGGCGATGGTGAGAGGGTTGGTCAGGATTAATCCACCGGGGCTTCGCAGGGGGCTGGTGATTCGGATCCAGATGTATTGGCCAGAGGTTGACACGAAATGGCCAGTCAGAGTCACTGCTGCTGCCATCCGGTTGACACCACTGGTAAGCGCGAATCGTTACCTCAGTTCTGCAGGGAGGTTATCAGCATGAGTAGTAAACTTGGGCGTCGACTACAACAGCCAGGCCTTTCAACCTACAAGCTGGCATGCCATCCTCAATGTTGGAGCTCTGTTGCTTGCGCTTTCTCCTCAAAGATCGCAAGCTTCTCGCCAGTCTCACCGAACATCTCCTCAAAACCGTCTACTGTAGGGGCAGATCTCGCTTGGCTTTATCGTTAACCAGTCTATGGCTCGCGTATGCGAGGTTGCGTTGACAGCATGTAGAGGCTGAGTCACTTGAAGCGGTACAAATGGAGTATGGGTTGTAGCTGCAGATGTGTGTATTGGACTGACTGTGAGGCCATGGTACGAAAGCAACAACAACCTAGGAGGCACATTCGAGTGGGATTGTTCCGCGGTGGCGCGAACGCAGAGATGGCACTGGGCGTCGCATCCAGCCTGCGCTTGCTTCCAGGACAAAGTGACGCGCAGCACCTTCCGTGCTGTGCACTCTTCGGCACCCAGGCCGTGACCTATGTGCAGAGGGAGCTTGGGATATCATTGCATGCTCCAACCCGCATGGCAACGCATGTGCAGGGAAGCACCGCATGCAACAAGGAGGACGAAGGCCGCCCCCTAAACCGAAGCCGAGCTCTGCACCGTCATAGTACAAGAAGAACTCAACCATGGCACCGGCCACTAGGTTCCTCCACTTGGGTACCAGGTCCTCCGATCTGCAGGGAAACTAGGGCTTAAAAGAAATCCTAAACGAAAACACGCCACGTGTGCCACTTCTATTGTCACACACCGCCTCCCCATGAACGAAGATGTGGCCTTTGAGCAGACAGTGATCGAATGCACACACCGCGGAAGCGCTTTGCTTCTGCTGGGACCACATCCTGCAAAAAAATGAACTTCCCCCAAAGACGGAAATGATCCGAGCAGCCTTGGTGCTTGGCCATCTCAGGATGATCGATGGCGCACTCCGGCTCAATCCAGCCATGTGTCTTCTTCCATTCCACTACCCGCCCAACCTGGCTCAGGGTTGTGGGCTGCTTCTGGTCCAAGAAAATGGAACTTGCTAGCTCCTGCCCTGGTTACTTAAAGGCCCGGGCTGTGGCTTCAAGATTGCCCGCTCGGGGGCAACAACCACCAGCAGAAAGTTAGGAAAGCTTGCCTAAAGGGCATTCGAGCTGCAATCGGTGCACTGCTCAAACGACTTCTTCGAAAGTCGCCCATGGCTGTAAAGCATTTTCTCAACTCTGAGCCGGGGCAGCAGCAAATGGGATCGGGAAGACTTGTCCGGGCCGCTGCTCAATTTCCTTTTGGCTGCTTTCGGGGGGTTTTAATGGACGCTCGTGGATCGGCATGTGGTCCAGGCACGCCTCACTGTCAACTGTCACTGTTGCTATCATACTTCTGCATTGACTGTGAGTACGCGCACTGTCCACGTCACACAACAGCTTTCGTTGGAGCATGTTTGGCCGCTTGGCACGCGGCGTCATGCTCTTGTTGAGTATGCCGAAGCTCTTCCTCCATACCTTGCCTTGGGGGGATCGAGGCCAAGCTTGAGACCCACAGCCTGGGTGGCGCTACCGTGCGGATCCTGATGGCTGAGTGCTCCACTCCTCTGCCGGCCATGGTGGGTCCTGAACTCCCCAGCCCTTACCCAGGCTTCTACATTCTACCGAGAAAGAAAACAGATATGCACAAGACACACTCGCCTCGTCTAGCGACCGCTTGCGCTTGGAACGAGAACGACTCCTTGGCTTAGGGTTTCAGGGCTTAAGGGTCTCAAGAAGCAGGGCTTAAGGGCCTCCAGGCGCACACAAGGATATTTTATCTCCGTTTCGGATCCCACGACTCGGGCATGCCAGTGATATGCTGGGGGTTCAAGATTCGGTCTGTCCGGGGTTCAGGACCAGGGTAACCTCACCAGCCTCTCAGCTACCTTCGCCAAAGGGCCGCGAAATGGAGGGACACAATGGTGACTTTTTGCATACTCACTACCCTGATCTTACTTTACCTTCCAGGTGCCCCACTTCTTCCTCCCCTCCAGGGCCGCCTGAACCTTCACACGAGGCAATGTTCGCAGGCTGTATCAATCGCAGCTCGGACATGCCAGACGAGGCCTCGTGGTCATATATATATATATATGTATATATATATATACACATATACATATACATGTACATATACATATACATGTACATATACATGTACATATACATATACTTATGTATATATATATATGCATCTGTCTCAATTCTTAGCGCAGCCCTGGCCCTCTCGGTGTTTAACCACACGCGAGCCTTACCGCTTAGGGCTTTGGCTCAAGGACGCTTGTTTGGAATGAAGCTCAGGGGACTCAGGTTCCAGGTAGTCTGACGAGACGCATGCCATGCCTTCACAAGCATTTAGGAGAGACCAGCCATCCCCAAAACACTCCAACCTCCTGGGCTTCTCGAGCTCGCTCCTGCTCACGCAGATCCTGCCCGAGAGATCTATCAAGGGCAGCAAAGGATGAGCTTCAGCTTGGCCATGTTCGTGAAAAGGGGGAGAGCCCGTCCTCGTGATTTCTTGCTTGCTGCTTCAGCTACTCTTTCACTATCGTGACAACTACCGGAGCCTGAAGTGCAGCTTGAAGACATGCTGGCTTCGGTCTGATAAAGCTGAGCCGCCGCCGGTATAATCCCAGAACCCCAATCCCAACACATCTAGCCAACTTCTTGACCGCCCTTGAACCCTCTGCCCAAAGCTTCGGGATCTCCTCGGAGGCCAGTTGGGCTCTCTCCCAGCCTGCCACACACGCCACCCCCCCGCCACATTCTCGAGCATTGTTGTCTCTTAGAGACCAACGCTTTATGTCATGCCCAAGTTATGCCTTAGGCCCTTCTCTTTCAAAAAAAAACGCCCCCAAACGGCAGTCATGCTTAAGTCATGCCTGTGCCCTTTTTCCACCAATGAACGCGAAAGACCATTGAAACGCAGCAACTGCGCATCTTCTTCAGTCTACGGACATCACTGAACCGTAGCAAATGGTTTTGGGGGCGTGCGTGTGAGTAATGTGAAACACCAGTGTACGGCTTCTCAAAGCCTGGGTTATAGGTACGAACCTCCAAGTAGGCCACGCGCCAGCCTTCAAGCTGGCGATGCCAGGCAGCAATCTCGGCCCACCTGCTGAGCGGCTTAGCTTCACCCAATTAGAACTGTACTTGTAACCCAACTAGAACCATGTTAGGGCACTTAAGGGGCTTATAAGTGGGTCATAAGTACAGTTATAAGTTAAGTGGGTTGCAGCCCGACGCTGGAGTGTAAAGTGAGTGCGCCAGGCATTTACAACTTGGACTTTTGGCTTCAGACTGTTTTTTGGGAGCTGCCGGTCGAGGTTGCACTTCTTACTCCTGCACAACCCTCGAGCAGACTCTAGCCACTCACACATGCGCGCCAATCCATCTCATCCAGAGCTCCGAGCTCGCGCGCCAGGCGTTCGCGCTCCTCACGCTCACGGCGCAGCATTTCCTGCTGGAGGGCCTGGGCAGCGGCCAAAGCAACGCCACCGAAACTACCACGCAAGGTGGTAATGAGTGGAAAATGCAAAGTGTAACCAACAAGAAAACCTACTTTACGCACCGGCCGGCAACCCCTACGTGTAAAAAGGGCTAGCCTAGGCCGTCATTGCCGTACTACATCCAACCTGAGCGAATCGGCACCAGCCATAACTGCAATCGAGACCCGAGCCTCTCTTTCCTGCTCCTCTGCCTCTCGCATTCGCTCTTCGTATGTCTGTGCCTGCGACATGGAACACCACATCAATGCCGACGTTTATTGATGGACCTGACCGATTGGCTTAAGATCCCAACCTTCTCCCGCACGAAGTTACGGCATCTCGCCATCATCTCCTCGAACCGATAAGCAGGATTCGTCAAATCAAGTGGGGGGAACAATAAACAATTGACCGCAGGCCCTGCATCCAACCATGTCCAGGCAGATCCCCCGCTGCGCTTGGCTTCCTGATGCAAACGGTCTTAGGCACTGTAGGCTGTCCTCCATGCGTGCAGCGGCATCTTCGTCGCTTTGGCCCTGCCAGGAGGAGCACACGCTTGCAGGTTTGCATCCCGTTGCTTCGGAGCAGGATCGGAACAGGATCAACAGGTTTAGTTTAGTTCATGTTAGTTCACACGGCTAAACTGGTATATATTTGGCCCGGTATGGCCATCTTCCCCCTTTTCTCAGCCAAGGCCATGCGGAACGGCCACCCTACTCTTATGTGTTCCGGCTCCTATTACAGACTGGAAAACCCAAAAAACAGAATTGTGAAATATTTGTGCCCAAATTGTAAAAACCCTGCCACTGGAAATTGTGACTGCCAAAAGAAACGTACCTGGAATTGTGACGGGAAATGTACCAGAATTGTGACCCAAAATGCACAGAATTTGTACCAAAAATGTGACAGGAAATGAAACCTGAAATGATGGGATTCCCAAGCTTTCACAGTGCCAACCCATTGTGTTCATACGAAGGCCTTCACTCATTCAAAATTTCTGAGTACATTTTTTCGCAATTATTTCACCATTTCCTGCACATTTTTTTTGCAAGGGACTTTTTTGTTACATTTTCCGGCACAATTTCGCCTCTTTTTTTACATTTGTTTCACAATTACTCTCACATGTATGTTTTCGCTTACATTTATTTCGCAATCTCCGGCGCATTCCTTTTACATTTTCGCGGGCAAGTACATTTTCCGGCTCAATCTGGGTACAATTATTTCGCATTTTGAATTAATTTCGAAATCCTAGGCCTGTAATAGGCGCGGAACCCATAACCCTACTCCGCACCCCAAAGAGCATGTCTGCGGCCCTGCTGGAGGTGTGCCCACCTTTCGCCGGACGGGCTTGACATCCGCCAGCTCCTGCAAGTCACGTCACAACCAAAAACACAGCAAAGTGTACAACGCCTGAAAATTTCCAAGCCTACCCACTCTGACTTCCCGGAAAATCCTCCCAAACCCCGAACTAAAGCCATGAGAAGCCACGCAGAGGAAGTCCTTGGGGGTCGGCTCCTTCTCATTCAAGCCAAAGTCTCGGGCCAGGCCGCACCTTGCCAGACACAACTTACGCGCTCTTTGTAGGGGAAATAGGGAACTACGGGATGAGGTGCCTTAAACCTCTTACCCTTAGAAGTAGCACTCTCAGGAATAACATGATGACAAGGATCCTTTCTGGACCCTTTCTTGCTTCGGGACTCCTAACTCCATGCTGGCAGGGGGCTTGTTCCAGTGCATTCTCAAGCCTGTCTGCAGCCATCACTGGTGTGTACATCTTCCTTCTGTCTGCGTGGCAGAGTATGCACAGCTGCACGTGTTCCTACTTTCCAAATCTCGAAGATGAAAAGGAGTGAACTGACGCCACTTTGCAGGGACAATTTGAGGACGCAGGGGTCACAGTAGCTTACGCTCCAGAAAACGCGGGCACTGCCTCATGCAACTCGTGGCCAACCCTCCCATATCTGGAGTCAACACACAATGAATCCACTGGTACATCCACACCTGCCAATAGGGACCACAGAATCTCACTCACTAACAACTCCAATCACACGTCCGTCCGTTTGGGCTTAGGGTTCGACATGTCTTGAAGGCTTTGGGCTTTCTGCTGCTGATTACTATATCATCGGTTGATTCTTTTAAAAACAAATGACCTTATTAATTATTTCTCCAGAGTGGGATCTGCTGGGTTTGCACTTGGTTCTCAAAGGCAAGGCTTCTGCAGTGGAAAAGTATGGACTTGAGTTTAGGGTAGGAGTACTGGACAAAAGGAACCAAATCCCTCCAGCAAAATAACCCTAAACCAGCCTAATCGGCTGAGCCCGCAGCTGCTTGAGGTATCGCTGCTGCTTGTCGGAGAATATGTGCCTGAGCTTGGGAGCTGTCAGGGCCTGTAGGCTACCAAGGGCTTTGTATGTGAAACTATGCGAAGCCACTGAGATGCAGGCAGATACTTCAGCATGGTGCGGTGCATTCGCTTGCCGACCTGGACTTCAGGCTTCGCACGCACATCACGATAATCTTGAGTACGGGGTGATCGTGCGAAGAACGGAACCCGCAGAGCCCGAACCATCCCAAGCCCTTGGCCTTGTCATGAAGCCCGTCAGCGAATTTCTCGCTGGAAAGTACGTTGTACAGCCTTGGCCCATCTTAGAGCACGTCGCTCTGCCAGCACTCTGAGGGCATCTGCGGCTAAGCTCCTGGCTGGCTGACCTCAGGAGCCCAAGCAGTCAAAGACCAGGCTTCCACAGTGACATCTGCCCCCGCCCCCCCCTATACTAACAGTCCTTAATCGGGATCATCATACTAATAGTAGGGAATTGTATGTTAGGGGGTACTATATTCCCTATCCCATTCTTTAAAACTGTTAGATGCAGAGGCCACGACCTTCACGGCACCTTCCGCGGCGACGCGGCAGGCCTCGGGGCATGAACCCCCAAACTGAACCCAACTTTAGGGTTTAGGGTTTAGGGTTTAGGGTTCAGGGTTTAGGGTTTAGGGTTGAACCCTGAACCCTGAACCCTGAACCCTGAACCCTGAACCCTTTCTTGCAACGGCCTTGTCAGATCTCGACCGGGCTGGTAGCCCACAGCAGTGACTTCAGATCATGCTCTGCACAAACCTGGTCTGCATTTGGGGCCTCAGGATCCTAAGGAAACTCAACGATATCAGATGAATTAGTGAACATCATTACCCTGAACCCTAAACCCTAAACCCCAAACCCCAAACCCTAAACCCTAAACCCTAAACCCTCCCTAAACCCTATACCCTTTTTTGAACCCATGCTGAGGCCGAGGCGTGTGACGGGAAGTCTTTTGGCCCCAAACCCAATCCGGGCCCCGAGCTGTAGAGAGCCAGGATGCTCGGTCTTCAGGCCTGAGTGAGAGTCTTTTGTTGGTTGTAGTTGAGGGCTTAGGGTTTAGGGTTTAGGGTTTAGGGTTTAGGGTTTAGGGTTTAGGGTTTAGGGTTTAGGGTTTAGGGTTTAGGGTTTAGGGTTTAGGGTTTAGGGTTTAGGGTTTAGGGAAAAAATGCACTCCAACTCATGGGCACGGCTAAGCGCGTGACTCCATTTTCAGAACCTTCTTTGGGTCAAGTTCCTCGGCCAGTCTGCAGCTGCACGGCAGAATGAAGTATGAAACGCAGTCACATTGCCTTCGGTAACCCTCAACCACTACAGCACGAAAAGACGGCGCTGCTCAGCTCTTCAGTCTCAAGTTGCCACTCTAGCCCTTAAAAAAATGCAACAAAAAACAAAAAAAAACTAGAAGAAAAAATAATACTCACAATAATGATAATAATCAGAATAAGAATAATAATAGAACCCACAGGAAACCCGGAACCCGCACATGCTTGAACTGGGGCTGGGGCCACACCAGCGGCCTCCAGCAGTAGCGCATCCAGTTTGCCCTTGGACTTGCCCATAGCCTCCGTGGCTCACGAATTCGGGGGTTACAATACTAGGGCGTAAGTATAAGGGGATCCCACTATTGGGGGGTCTATATTAAGGGGTCCCTTATTCCGTGTTTGGCGCTTTGTGGCTCACAATCACTGGGGGCCTTAGGGGTTGAATCAGGAGTTCCTGCGTCGACAGACACTGTTTAGCATACCTCACCACGGCCTGGAGGCCGCAGGTCAAGGCCCTCGATCAGCTCGCCATCTGGAAAGACTGCAAAGGCCTAGAACTTACACTTTTAGGTTTACAGGTGTAAGGCTTGGGGGTTGAATCGGCTGAAGGCTGGAGGCCGGAGCTTTGTCCGGAACCCTTGCGTAGAGTTGGGGGTGGGAGGAGTTCCGATGATCTCGCGCGCTTTAAGGTCTTGGGGTTCGGGCTTCAGCACTTTGGCCCAGCACTAGCAGTTGCTGCTGATGTTGGATGTAGGGATTCGGGTTCAGGGAAAGGGTGGATATAGGGTTGAGGGGGAGGCTTGTGCAGAGGTGGGGGCCATGTGGCGTTCTGAAAGTTGGCTGCCGCAGCTGTTCTTGTGTCTTTGTGGGTCTACTCGTCCCAGCCAGTTAGCGGCAAACTCCAAACCCACAAATGAATTGTCCAGCTGCTCGCTCATGTACTGTCCCTTGGCTCGGGCCAGGGCCACGGCGCAGATTCTGAAAAGTAAACATGAAGCATGCACAGCGATTCGGGGGAAGGAGGTCCTCTCCTTATGCAGTCATTCTCATTATCATGTCTGTAACCATGTCTATTCGGCACCTCCTACGTAGCCCAACTAAGACAATGAGGCTTCTGAACCAAGAGGGGGCCAACTGGGCCGACAAAGAAACACCGGGTGCAACCCATTACCTTCTGAAACTCGCATATGTGGCCCTCAAACAGTGACCCCTGGGCCCTAGGGTCTCCCGTAGTAGCCTTCCGTCAATCCCTAAGAAGGGAAGTTGGTCATCAGCAACAGTCGCACTGGGCTTCGCTGACACTTTGTTCGGCGAAACTAAAACGGGGCACCGCTGCTCCAACGAGCTTGCACATGCAGCGAGCCGTCTGCAGCACTGAAAAAAGATTCAAGCCACACACCAGTGTCTTGAGCGAGCTTCTTCGCCAAAAGGACTCCTTGCAACATGGGGCTGGGTTGAAAGCGAGCAGCTTCTCCTATCCGAACCGTCGGTATCCAGCCTGTCACTTTGCTGAACCACACCTCCGTCCAAGTTGCAATGCCGTGAACGCCTGGGCGGCCACTTCCCAACATGACGCCAGGAAACCTCCTGACCGAATCGGGAAAGTCCTCAGCCAAATCCACCTGGCACAGCGTCACCGGGTCACTCAGAATAGCATGCTCCACTTGCCAAAGGCCGCAAGGGAACCTGGGCCGCCCAGGGCTCCCAGGAAGCCCAGGGGTCCCATTCCGCCTCTCAGGATGCAAGCGGTTCACTGCAGAGACATCCACGCCCCAGGCCGACTGAATCTCTTGACGGCGTCTCCAGAGGTCATGACAGGAAAGGAGCACGGCCTTGAGTCGGAAAGACCTAGGCAGAAGAACCGCCGTGGGCTTGAGAGCGAATCGAAGTGCATCCACTTGTGCCCAGTGATGCCACATCTGAGAGTCACAAGGGAGACCTTCACACTCACGCGCAAAAGGCTCACCACAGATCATGGAGACGCTCTCCGGAGTAAGGCAGGGAGACCCCAAAAGATGCTTCACTTTCGGCACATGTCGGAACGCACCCGGCCGGGTGAACCCCGGAGTGAGGGAGCTGCAGCTGGGATGCATAGCGAAAAGCTCTTTGGCCACTTGTAGATCCTCTTCGTTGGTTTCCAGGCTGATCAGCGGCGTGCGCGCCATCCGCAGCATCTTTCGCATTCTCCTCGACTTCGGATTCCACCCGTAGCGGCAGAGGGACTTGAAGGCAAGGAAGCTCATGAAGGGCCCGTCTGAGAGATCCACAACTTGCATGTTGGTATGCAGAGGAGACCCCTTGTTGAGAGACTTCACAGCCCGATGCATTGCCTGTTGCAGCTGTCTGTACTTCTCTTCATCTGAGAGCATCCAAAGCCTGGAGGAAGACAGCTGTGCTAAGTTGCTGGAAGCCCGCGGCAATTCTGCTGGCCCTACAGGAAGCTCGTCCTGGACTCGAAACCAAATGTCTTCATCTGTGTGGAACACAACTAAGCGTACGACCTGGCCTGCCTGGACGGCCGGCCGAGGGTATGGCAAGATGCACACTGCTTGGCGCCAATGGTCGATCTCTCTTGCCTCGGCCTTGGAGAAAGAGGATGGAGCATTCGTCATTGTGGGAACTTTGTCACCACGAAGCATATAGCAATACCACCAAAAAACAATAGCATCAAGTCGTCCGGATCGCGTGATGGCTACCTCCAGTTTCCTTGCCCGGTGGCCGTCGGGAAGCGACTCAAAGTCAAATGACAGTGCGAAGAACTCGTCCGTCAGAAGACGAGCTTTGCCTGCTGCAAGCAACTTCTCTAAGGCGACATCATGAGGATTGGCGTCTCCCTGATCTGCACGGTAGCCTGGGGCTTTTTGTGTCCACCAAGCAGCCTCGGCCGTTTGGAAGGTCGTCAACATGGAACTTTCCACGGCGCATGCAAAGACATCTGCCGAAGCTGGTATGGCCCAGTAGTCCTTACACAAAAGCGAATCAGATGCATGACGCAATGTTCCCAAACAGTCTTCTCCAAGCAAGCCAGCATCCAGAATTTCGGCAACGAGAAGCTTCGCGCGATCTCCAGGTTCAAAGCTCATGGCAGTGGATCGCAGCGCATGCACTTGCAGCTTGGGCGCCAGGCCATTCTTCACGGCGTTCGCCTTGGTGACCTCTGCGAGGACAGGATCGCTTTCAAAAGCCACTACCTTGGAAAGTTCAGGTCGCTGCCGTAGAAGTGACAAGCCCAGAATCCCAGTCCCACAACCGACATCCATCGCCAAATGTTGCAACACAGTTTTCGGCAGCCGATCGAAAGCCCCGCAGAAGGCCTTGAGGCGGGCATCGTCATGAAGCATGTCGAAATGCCAAGCATAACGCTCGCTGGCGTTTGCTCCGACTGGCCCGTCCACATCGCTCTCTTCGACATCCTCCATGTCCTCCTCATCGTCCTCCCCTATGTCCTCCTCTTTATGCGAGGCGCCCTCCGCAGAGACCGGCGTTCTCGAGCGACTTCGCATGCTCGGCATGACGGGACAGGACTTGACTTGAATCAGGCCCCCGGAACCAAAAACACAAGACGGCTTGTATGTAAGTATGTATATTTACTTGTCCCATCCCTTCCCCCTAGTGTTAGAACACCCCTCACATAAACCCTAGTATTAGAACACCCTTCATATAAAAAACAACCTGGCCCCAAGACCCGATCCCGTACCTGCCCCTACTAAAACCTCTACTGAAACAGGGGGGGGAGGTTGGAGGGGTCAGAAACCTGAAGCAGAAACCTGAAGCTTGACTCTGAAAAGCCCCAAACCCTCTAGATAGACTCAAGTTCCCGTCAGCCCCTTGGGGGTTTAGGGTTTCAGGTTTAGGGTTTTCCCACCCGTTTCGCAAGCGTTTACGGGGAAAAGGTCAGACGGTACTCTAGCCCAAGTTTAGGTTGAACTTGCAGACGACATGGGGAGGGCCCCAGAGCTGCAGTAGGAGTTTAGGGTTAAAGGATAAAAGGCTAGGGCTAAGAGGCTCGAAACCCCGCAACAAAGCACCCAGTGTAACGCAGCTAACAATTCCCTCCCTAAAAAAAATGCCCGGAATCCCTCGCGGAGGCCTGCTGCAGGACCAGCGGCGGGACACGACACTAGAAGTGAAAGATGAAACCCTCCGAACATACACTCCAGCGTTTAGGGTTTAGAGCTTAGGGTCTCCCTACCCTCACTCATTGCTGTTTGGCGGTCTGCCTGTCTCAAGAGATAAGAACCACCCCGGATGCTAAAAACTCTGCAGGATTTTGGAGGGGTTTTCATTACAGGAAAGGGGGGGGGCTTTGTTTATTTGGGGGAAGGGATTGTTTGCTTGATTTCAGTTCTTGCGCGCGCATTGCCGAGAACCATTGGAGGTGTTGTCCCATTTTGACTGCTAGTGATGGAACACCACACATTCAGCCTTGGCTAGCCTATGCCATATACTATTTCCATGGCCAGAACCTGAGAATGTACTGTCCGCTGGCGTCAGGTGTGTTTCTTCAACCTGAACACTTTTCAGGCTTGCATCTTGAAGCAGCCTCACAGTCCAGGCTCCCTGACATTGGGTTCGATGTGCATGAAGAAGCAATGACAGAAAGCAGCAAATTGGAGGCACGCAGGGCCTTCAGATGCCTTCAGCGTATGTGTGGAGTGCTCGACTGCGGGATGCGAGCGCAGTCGGTGCCTGGCGATCTGGATGGTTGCGCCTCTAGAAGAAACGAGATGCCGCTTCAAGACCCGGCTGCCAAAGGCCTGTGGCAATGCATTACAGCTGCCACTTGCGTCCGGTTTCCAGACCAAGTCCCTGTGAGCAGAGGTGTCGGTGTCAGCAGCCGATCGAGTCTTTCCAAAGCTCTTTCGAGCAGTATTCGGACCTAAAAAATGGTCGTGTCTTCTGGTAAATAGCACGCCCTCATCCACTCTTCCAAATGCTCTGCCGCTTCGAGGGAGTCTGGTTTCAGGTCTTGTGGTATATGGCACGACAGCAGCGCCTCCTCGACCTCGGAATGCACATCAACCGCATCCCTTGAGCAGGACCCTTTTCTGAATCCAAGCGGACATCTGCGAAAAATTTCCGCCCCTGCTAGGACTCCTAGTACCCTATACTCAACAAACTCAAAGGTGCCGAGACTGGCTCGCATGGAACATCTGGCGGACGCCTTGGAGGAGGGAGCTCCCGGAGCTCGGAAGGCCTCCGGAAAGCAGAAATGGCTCCGAAACGGGCTTGCCGCAGCTCGATGTCGTCAAGGGCCGGCGGCGCCTCCGGCGGCGGCAGCTGGAAAAAGCGAAACGCCGGACGATGGTGCTCCTGCGTACGTCGATCTCTTGGTCGCAGCGGAGGCATATCTGGGTGTGGCTCTGAGATGGCAGGCGGCCGAAGCTGGCGTGGCAGGTCATGGTTAGTCCCGGCAACAGCAGCAACAGGTGCCTCATCAGTGTGACAGCTGCTTGCTTGCACAACTGCCAACTGAGAATGCTCTTGTTCGGGCTCTTCGAGCGGCAGCTGCTCTAAAGGGTCTGCAATTACATCCAGCTGGATGCCCTTCTCCGCAGTCTCAACCTCAGGAGCCTCAACGACATCGGTCTGCGTGCCGCCATCCCTGGCCTCTCGTGGCTTTTCCTCCGGCTTTGCCTCCTTGGCTAACCTGAAAGGCTTGTCCGGCTGGGGAGGCCGCCGAGTCCCAAGATCATCCGGACCCTTCCGCGAATTTCCTTTTGTCGGGCGCCGGGGCTTTGGGGGCCGGCGGTCGGATCCCAAACCCTGAGGCACCTCAGCAGCCTCGGCAACGGCAGAATTGACTGACGCAGGTGAAGGGAGCTGAGGCCGAACATCCGCTGGCGGGGCATCTGTCACTGAATGCTGTGGAGGGCCCAGAGGGGCAAGGAAAGACTCACCCGCCATTTCCTCCAAACAATCGGGGAACCCTTTGCCAGCGCAGCTTCGGCGGAAGCGGAGGGAAACTGGGCGCCGCGACAGGGCCGCGGCGAGCTCCATGGAGCGTGCAGGCTGCCCATCAATCAGGACAAGAACATCGCCCTCCCTGACACCTTTTGTGGCTGCAACTTGGTTGGGCAGAACTGCTCCCACGACAATTGGCTCAGAGTGCCAGTCTCGGGGACAGAAGCCAATGGCCCCGTCAGAGACCTGCACCTGCACATCGATTGTCTCACAGGAGGCATGTGGCAAGTGCCGTTTCACCTCTAAGAATAAGGGCCTCCTGCTCAGCTCGCGAGCCAAGGCAGGGCGGTCCAATTCACAGACTTTCACATCATTTACCATCAGCAGCTCGTCGCCCACGCCTATCTCTGAAGCTACAACGCTGCTGGGCAGAACAGCCGCAATCCGAACCGGTCCTGGTGGCCAGCTATAGGGCACCAGCCCAAGAACTCCATTGACTTCGACGCGGATGCACTCCGACGACTCCATGGAGCTTGCCCCGAGCTGACACAAGGTGAGGCGGCCCTTCCTTTACCGCTATCTGACAAATCCTGCTGAGACGGCGAAAGAGGCCAACGAGCTTTCCTCTGGAACCTGCCAAGCCTGGCCAAGCAGGAACGCCCCTTTTCAAGCGGCTTGGTGCCTCCGGCGAGCTACACCTAGTGCCCTCGAGCGGCTACTTCATGTCTGCTGGCCATAGACTTGCACGCAGACACGTTGCGAGGAATGATGAACACATTGGTCACGAGAGTCTTCTCAACGACAAGCCTAACTATAGTCGATGCATCTGTTGTAAGTGGCCTTCGCAGTAACAGTCTCACTCACATCAGCCACCACGCAGTTTCTGCCTCAATTTCTGATCAGAATTCAACTGCGGGACTTAGCCTGGTTTATGCAACTCCGAATGGCTAAAACATGGAACAGCGTCTCGGAAACTGACGTCACCTTCCCACGCTGGAAATCCTCAAACTTGATGCGGATGTCTGCAGCGCTGATCCCAGAGACCTGGCACAAGCAAAGTGCTGTCAACGACATCACTGCCACAGCAACCCCATAATTGCTGCTGCACTGTTGAGTCCCAACTTCAACTACAATGGCCAGCAATTGCCTCGCATCTTCGCGATTTTCACTGGCTAGAGGAGGAAGCAAAGTACAAGCCCGGTGGTCTTTGTGGCCAGCAGGCACTACACACCGCGAACCTTCCCTAAGGGAAGGTGCACAGAGCCAGCTTGCAGTGCATCTTGAAATACGGCAACTAATCCGTGAGACGGCAGCCGCTCATACCTGCCAGTTCATGAGCTTTGCGGCCAAGCTCTTGGCATTTCTGATATGCGTCTCATCCAACTCCATGAAACCCGCCACCCGCGGAGACACATTCTCACCCTGCCAGATGTCGGATAGACTGTCCCTCTCCACAGAGTTGATCCACAGGATGAAATTCTTGGCGTAGGTGGTCGCCAGCATGTTGGCATCCTCCGTCATGCTTTGAAGCATCCCCTTTTTTAAGTGGCTGCAAAACAGATTATTCGCAAGGCATAAGAGGGAAACAGCACCACGATCCCCAAGCCCCAAAGCTTGCCTTATGCCCTAACCAAACCCAGCATCGGGGTTCAGATTCACGATCCGGCCGAATTGAACCGGGTCTAACACCATAAGGTCGCACTCCGTCAGAGCTGTCAGCCTAGGTTTCGAACTCCTGCTCTGCCGGTGAGCTGAAGCCCTGCAAAAAAAGGCAGAGGTATAGGCAACCTAGGAGCAAACCCAAATGAAGCCACGTCGACGTCCACAACACCGGCTCTGAGATCCAGTCCTCACCTGAGCAGCTTTCGAACTTCGTTTTTTTTGGTATTAGGGGATAGCATTCTTCGGGGACTTTACGGTTTCAAGGCCTTTAGGATTTCGAGGATTTACTTTCAGGGGTTGAGGGTAGGATTTTGGGATTCCCTCCATCAGAAAGTCTCCTGCAGTGCCGACCCCCGCCTTTGTCTACGAGCTCCTTATGCTCGTCGTTCTTGGAGTCGAACCGACTGTAGACGAGCCTACCGGAAACTTACTCGCACGTTCATGGTTCAGGTTGCGTCCCGTTGACTTGCACCTAGACATCTAAGGGCGGATTCACTCTCTTGCCGGCCTTCCTGCCACGACGATGTACATGTGGGTTGCAGTCTCCCCGGGAATGAAAAGGGTGTCTGTTCTGGCCAAGAGTTTGTTGCAGATAGCGTCGTTGGCCAATCGGTGAATTGTCACGCGAGAAACAACACAAAGTCTTGCGAACAAAGGGTGCACCGAAAAGTGTGGCATGCAAATCTCACCTTAGATTTGGTGGGAGCTTTGCTTCGCGTGCGCATGCACCCAGAGACACGTGCTTGGCATACCTGTCAAAGAGAAAAGCTCATTGCACATCTAAGCATCATTCGAGCTCACTACGGAGCTGCTCCGAGAGCAAGGTCAACAATTTTACATCTTTGGCTGGCACGTTGTCCTCCTGACCTGGTCAAAGGCATGCTCTCTTGACAAGGCCAGAGTCGCATGCAACACGAGACATACAACAAGTTCTGCACAAAGTCTAGGCTCGAGAAACCTCTAGATCGCAGAAGTCAACAGTGCACGGAGCCACAAGAATGTCCAGATGGTACCAAGCTGCATTCGAGCACATGCTCGGCATACTTCTGAATCCGCGCAGACAAAATGATGGAGACGTGGTTCTTCCGCAAAAAGCGCCGGAGCTCCCAGAACTGTCGCGCTCGATTTTCCGTCATGCCTGTATCGGATCTGCAAGTTGCACTAGCGACTCAGAGACAGCACCAGCACCAAAACATGTGAATCTTCCCGAATCTTATTCCAATCGTTTATTTTGTGACGCCGTGCGCCTCGCAGTTGCGCCAACGAACCCGAGATGCTGCCCACTACCTCAGTACTCTCTCCAGAGGCCTTTGAGATCAAAATGGGCGCAGCTCACTTCGTGACTGAACTTCCATCCCGCCGTGGCACGTAGGAGAAGCCAACGAGTGCAAACACCACGGTGCCAATGGCGAACATGCGCTCCTCAACAAAACAGCTTGTTTTGTGAGTCGCACGGGTGCACCACATGCCATGCAACCAGTACTGGTACACCTTCAGGCAAGCGAGTTTCTGACATAGTGTGGGGCTGCACATGCATCGAAGCTGGCGTGAACTGAGTAATTGCCCAGTGTAAGCTTGTGGCATACCTGCAGCAAGGCGATCGATCTGCTCAAAAAATGCAGTGAGCAGCCTGTAAAACAAAAACTGCTAGAGGTTGAAAGCTTTCTGAATCCTGCCTCGAAACTCTAAACCCTCACCCGAAATCCTAAGACCAACAAGCTCCTAGCCCCTCGCACTTTCGCCATTCAAGGCATATTGATGGTTGATGGTCCGGCAAAGCTTACTCTAGACATTTAAGAGCACAGTGCAACAGGCCAGCCAAAAGAGGTCAAGGGTTTAGAGGCACCCGACGAAACCTCAAAGATCGCAGGAAAGCATTGCAAGCTCGAGGTGCTGGTAGTCCCAGGCTGCATCATTGAGCTGGTGTGCCTCAATCCATCCACCACCACCATGGAGGTCACCGATCCAAAACCAGAAGCAAGCGATGACCTGAAAGCCAAGCTCACAACACGCAGCTTGTGAAAGCCAAGAGGGCCAAGGGGACTTTCACTGCACAGCCATGCACTGCAGCTGCAATTGAGCCACATGATTGACCATCAGGAGCAGCGCGAGCATCTTGAAGATGCTGACAACAATGCTGATATACCTGGCTTGGCTTAGTAATCATAATAAATGATGATCATGATCATGATAATAATACTAATAATAATGATAACAATAATAATAGTAATAATAATGATAATAATAATGATTGTCATAGTAATGATGATAATAATAATAATAATAACAATTTGAGTGTCATCGGGCTCACTGTCACTCTGGCAACTAACAGCTATCGCAACAACAACGAAAGGATGGGTGTGTCGTGTTGAAATTGGTAAAACTTAAAACCCTTTTGCCAATCCTTGCGCGGGAAACTCAGAGTCCACCAAATCACTGATGCTCTCCATTGTTTTCCGCAGGCGAAAGATTCGGACAAGTCGCACCTCAGGCGCCATACGCATTCCTATCCGGCACTTGCGAGCATAGCACGTGCCAGATGCACAAAGATGACTAAGAGCCACACCATCCGGAACAGGCGAAGACTTCGAAGAAGCTTCACAGAGCTTTCAGCCGAGGACCCCGTCGAGCCATCGGAAGATGTCGAAAGCGTGAAGGCCCAGTCTGAACCAACCACTATCAGGTCAATCAGGAGCCAAGTTTTGACGTAGTGTAACACGACCTTGTGGGGGACCATCACAAATATGCCCTTGTCAATGTACCCGACCAAGCAGGACACCAGCATGTTGATGGTCCAGTAAATCAGGATGAACCACTGCATGAACGCAGACACGTCGGTGTCTGGAGGCTCGAACACCTGCATGGAGATTGTGAAAAGGTCATGTACAATCAGGCCAGCTCCTGCAATATCCCAGGCCAGCTTGGCTGGGCTGCTGGGGAAGATCATGAAGTGGCGGATGAAGCCGCTGTATTCCTGAACGACCATGATATCGTCTGCAGAGTCGGAACTTGGCAGCTTGGCATCAGCACCGCTTATTCTGATGCCAAGGTCGTCTGCCCTCGTCCAAATTGCGAGGGATTGAAAGTCGTGATGTTGCACATCTGGTGGGCCCATGTTCGACTCCAGATACTCACTCCGCTGCATGACAAGACGCTTCCGCTCTGCACCGTTGAAGTACACGAAACTCGCCGGTGCTGACCGGATGCTTTGAATCCGAAAGAACCGGTGGTCTTCTTGATCAACGGGCACTTGAAGTCTTACATGCCTGCTTGTCTCTGAAGCACACTTCTCGGACTTCTCGACTTCAACACAAGACCGGCTGCCTAAGTTGTCCCCTGTCAAGGATGCAAAATCCATGAGGACCGATTGGGATTGCACTCGAGGAAGAGTTGGAACTGCATCTGGATCAACGCGTCTTGCTGAAAACTCTGTGGATGCGCAGCGCTTGTGGCTGACAGCAGAGCTCTCGGCAATCTCCTGTGCCATCTCTTCAATCATGGCGAAATCCTCCTCCAGTCTTGCCTGAAGCTTTGCTCTCCATCGGTCCAGCGCGTCTCGCCAAGCATTGTGCTGTTCGGTCTCAAGACTGCTCTCCGGATGGCAGGAGCAGCTAAATTGGTCCAGGGGCAGCGCAAAGGACGGCATGGCTTTGGATGGTCTGAACAGCTGCGGACAGCAAATCCCATGTCAGTTCTGCCTCCTTGCACCATCATCCATGGTGCCTGAGTTTCACCGTCATCAAGCAAGGCGCATGTCTACTTGCAAACGGTAAGCCCTCGGAAGGCAATGCCTTCTCTCCAGCCGCTAGCAGCATGTCCAGCAAAACTTGCCCCACAGCCAGGACATGAAGGTCCTCCTGATAGGCACTCGCAAGCACGAGACGCACAGATTACAATGTGGCGGACGATGCTTAACAGGCATCTGTTGCCGCGGCTGGTAGTGTCAAAGTCTGCCAAGCAATGGAATTTAGCTTGTTCGTATGCTGGCTTCCTCCGCATGCTTCAGCCACAAGGCCACTTTGGCATCTGCCGTCGTCCTGAACGCGCGGTGGTGAGCAACGAATCAAATCTAAAAGACTGGAAACGTCTAGGCGTTCTGAACCTGACGGATTTCCCCCCTATCGTTTCAATCCTGGATTTCCTCCCGATACTGTACTTACGACCGTAACCGCGGCAGGAGGCAGTAATGAGTCACCGCAGGACATTGGATCTTGCTCGAGACTCAAAACTTGGCTCCCTGCACGGAGACCGCAACACCTGGAGCCCAGCCGAGATGTCATGCTGCTTATCCTGCCTGTCGCCCACGTTTTGCGAAGAGGCTAAGGGGGCGGCCACAAACGTCAGCATGGCCCTCGAAATGGCTGCAGAGAAGACCACTCGTCAAGGCCTCGACCGTGTGCCCTCAATGCTCTGACGACGTTTCTGCTGGTGTTGATCCCCAGCACACAATGCGGAGGCTCGGCTTCCGGCAAACCATGCCTGACAGTTGGCCCAGGGAAAAACATGCCACTCGCTGCAAGATCCTCTGCATCTTTCCCTCAAGCCATCCCCATAGCAGTGGCCTCGTTCAAGAACGGCGCGAAATCCTGCAGAGTCAGGAACAAATATTGAAACACGCACATGGCAGGGTCTGCTCAAGTCTTCGGCTCTACAGCCCTGGGCGCCCTTCCTGCGCGCTCCGCCGCAAGCCAAGAAGCCAGCGGCCACCGCAACTCAGCGAGGCTTCCTCACGAGCCTTCGAATGCTACGAAGGGTTCAACGACTCAACTTTTCAAGAGAAGACATGCGTCGACAACCGGCATTGCGCTTCCACCCGTACTTGAAGCCTAGACGCTCAATCCCAAAGCCGGACCCAAAATAAGCGCCCCAAACTGCAAACAAGCCTGAGACGAGAAGCCTCCTTCAGTCCTACAGACACGAACTCACTAACCACGCTTCCCCCTCTCTCCTAAAGCCAGCATTTTTTGGTGCCAGGCCGGGAAAACTCCATCCGCAAACAACGCCAAACCAGTTCCTGCCGGCCTCGGCACTCCAGAGCTTCCTCACACTTTTGTTTTTTATGTCTTATATATATATATATATATATATCTTATGGGCCCCCTGGGTCATTTTCCTTGCCCAGAAATTACACAGGTCACTGTCCGGAAGTCTGTCAATCATCAGCTCAATGCCGTGAAACTCAATGCCCTAGCAGCAAGCAATAGAACCAAGGAACCAAAAGTTCAACAAAGTACACTTACAGTTTGACAGGGCCTGCGCACCACCCACCCGGGTTCATGTTGCCAACCGGCTTTAAGGTTCTGCAGGCTTAGGCAGATACCGCAACTAGCTGTCACATACACTCAACGGCTCTGGGCTTCCACTCGCACGCTAGCGACCTTCCTTCTGCCAATCTTGCAGGAACTCCTATGGGAGCCTGGAATCCACCAGAACAGCAAGAGCCCTGACAACTCCGCTGGGAGCCGGGCAGCGCGCCTGGCGAATCCTGGAGCTGGCCTTGTTGGAAAATCCCTCCTGGCTCACCGTGGCATATCGTGGCTCATCACTTCAACGTCTCAATATTCACGTGCAGGGGACTCGGCCATGGGCACAAACAAAAAAAGGGCACCCTCACAAGAAGACGACACCGCAGGCCAGCTCTCTGATCTCGTTTCGCGTTAAGGGTTGAAGTCAGTCTTGGACCCAAACCGAAATCGTCCTCATCACCGATTGAATACTTGTAGGGACTTGGCTACAGCACACCTAGGTGCAGCGTGTGTGTTTGTGTGTGTGCGCGCACGCGCACGCGCTGACGTCTGGACTTAGTGCTGCTGCACTATCTGCGAAGATGCTGCAAACAACCAGCCACCAGAAGGCACTTCTAAAGACGGCAGCCTGTCCTCCGGCTTTGCGGAGGGCTTGCGTCCCAGGCTGGCCTGTGTCAAAAAACTCGCGCTGCTTCTGGCTTTGTGGGCACTCACGAGCCACCTATCAGGAAAGACCCGCGAGCTAGCACTCTCCCGGCCTACTACAGATGACAGTGAGCGAACCTTAGCTTCTGCCTGGCATGTCTCCATGCTTGTGCACCGGGCTGCTGACCAAAAGCATCTGAAGAAGTTTTCCACAAGTTGAAAGGCTTCTGCGCGGCATTGCCTACCCAGGAGATGCTTGCCGGACCAGTCTGTCTCGGAGGCGTTGCAGTAAGGATCATGAACATAGCGCTGTGCGAAAAATCTCAAGCACGTCAGTTGCTACCCCGGCTCGGGCGTAGGAGCCTTCGGCAAGCCCATCGCAGGAAGCTGGGACCTGCCTCGGCGAACTGCAACTGCAAACTTCAGATGCCTGCCGCAACCATAGTGGCACAGCAGCTCGCGTGCGTACAACTGTGGCGCGCGCTGTCTCCTTTCATCATGATTCAAGATGTTGTCAAAGCCCGGAGTCCATAAGATACTCAGACTCGTGCAGGAAACACAAGCTGGCAGTTACTTGGGCTTGGGCATCGCCGCCCAGTCTACCACCTAAGGCATCGGGTCACCCAAAGGGCAGGAACCGTCAGATTGCAACCAGACTTTCAAGACCACACGAGCATGCGAGGCAGAGGCCCAGGCGGCAAACGGCTGGGCAGGTGGTGGGTAGGAAGATGTCATGTAAGGCATCCTTAGTAGCTGCTGCGGCAACACAACATATACGTATGTGCACATATACAGTCATGTAGTAACGGGAAGGGTGGGAGGGCACCTTCCGTGCTATGCTCGTGTTATTTTTTTTTTTTTCTGGTCGTTGCTGCTTTGCTCTTCCTGTCAGCACTTCCCACACTGCTCTTTGTCTGCGACACGGAGCTTGACGAGACTCCCCTGCACGCATAGTCACACATATATGTACTGCCATAAAAATTGAGAAGGAAGTCAAGAGAGTTCGTATCACGTAGAAAGACTCATGATTTCTGTGTTGGGCTCCTTGTGTTGGATTCCTAGCTCCTAAAGACCCCTGTGAACAGCCAGAGCACGCATGAAAGGTTCCAGCCCCAGAGCGAAGGTAGTATGAGAGTGAGGGAATGAACGAAGCAAGATGCAAGTGAATGAAGTGAGTGCGTGATTTTACGAGTGAAGACTTGAACGAAGCAAGACCCCTTGCAAAACCCTCAAGAAAGACTCATTCTATTGGTGCAGTTCTCGCGCTCTTGTTAAGAATACTTTTGCACGAGAGAAGACTCATTTGCACGGATTGAAAGTATGAACGACGCGTGAAACTAGCTTATAAATGAACGAAATGAACGTGCCATTTGCTTCGCTCCTTAGATTCGTCGATTTGATACGCTGGCTTATAGTATTCTCTCTGTGTGCCCGCGATACGATATTTCATTATATTCATGTGGTCCTCATTAAATGTGGGTGTTGAGTCGCGAATTCACATATTCTGTTAACAGTTGGATTTTGGAATGAGGGAACTTCTGTTTTTACTTGTGGATTCATCACAAAGCTTGTTTATCATCAAGTTGTACGGTAGCTTTCCAGGTGTTCTCAGCAATACACAGAGAAACTTCTTCTTCCTTTCCTTGAAGAAGACAAAGACCCCTTTTAAGGGTACATTTTCGCAATCATGAGTGGAAAGACCACCTCCTACTTTCAGAAGGCGCTTCAGAAAAATACATGGGAAATACTCAAGCCTAGTCAATGGAAACTTTTAATCTTGGGAACGAGATCCAACAGCCATGGGTACTAACACTTCATTTCACGAGAGAATGCTTCCAACCGTGCATGAAAGGGCCTCCCCATGTGCTAATCTGAAATAAGATTTTGTGATATTGGGATATCCCACTCGGTGCATTCGCGGTACTGTCCTTGCCGATCTCAGATTGAATGCTAGTCGTTTGGTTAAGACGTGGCATAGAATCAAAAATTACACAGCACCCTGGGCGTGAGCAAACTTGGAAACTTGATAGCTTGGTGTTCTTAGTACTTGAATTTTCCTACACGAGAGACGTCAGACAAGAAAAACATAGGAAAGGTGCCCGATCACAGTCTTATCCTGTACATGATCTTGAAACCTGCCGCCGCCATTGTGGTGACTCTCTCTATATAAATGCTACATGTACTTATTCACATATACTAGACATTATCGGCATTTCTAATGTACATAGTCACATTTCAGCATCGCGGCACGTTCCGAGAAGCTACTCGTTGTAACTCCCCCGGCACGCTTGTGTAAGATGGATGCAGCACATGCGGAGTCTTTTCGGCTGACGTAAGGTTCGCACATCACGTTGTCGGAGTAAGGCGTATGCCACCTGAGCTTGGTGTTCGATCGGGGGTCAGCCTCTGCTTCTGGCACTCAACATCGCCGCTACGTTCAATGACGGACATGCACCCTGGCGTAGGGCAGGGGCATGTCCCTCATCTTATCACCACTTCGGGTTCATTGAACAGATGGGCACCCCCAAAAGCTGTTCGACATCCAGAGAGCTGCACCCCGCAGATCATTAGGCAGCCAGCTACTGCATGCGCAGCA